AACTAAACAAAATAGAAGGTATCTGCAGCCAATGAAGAAAAATGGTTGCTCTGCCACTGAGCCCCAGAGCTCCTAGCCTAGTAACCACTTATAGCAGCCCTTCAAGAACAAAAATCACAGAGAAGACAGAGTTAAACAACATTAAGGCTAAGGTCCTCAAAGTCCATCCATTCCCTCCGAGCTTGGTTTGCAATATCATTTTCCAATTTCCAAGTATTGTTGAAGACCCAAAGGTTCCTACACTTCCACAATCTCCAAAGAATATAGGAGGAGTAGTGGATCTGTCATTAAAGCTCGTCACCTTCCGCATAGTGCAAATGTCAGTCCACCATGTTTTGAAAAAGAGTGCAGGGTTCTGAAAGGCTGCCCAATCAAGCCCTGTCAGTTTCCAGACCTTTGTAGCACGTGGACAAAAAATGACGATATGCTCCAGGACTCGCAGCAATTCACACATTTTACATATGGGGTCTGTCTGGATTCCTCGTTTGATGAGTTGATCTTGAGAGCCAATATATTTAAACCAACATCGCCATATAAAATTTTCTATTTTGTTCTTTATTTTCATGGACCATGTTGTTTTCCATACCTTGCCTTAAATGAGCTTGGCATTACTAGATTCAGGAACATTAAGAGCCAGATGCTTGCTCTTAAGGATGAGAGAGTAAGCAGATTTGACTGTGAATTTTCCAAGCTTGTGGGGCCACCATTTCATGCATTCTCCTTGTCCAGGTCTATTAAGTGCAATGTACATGATAAGTTGAGCTTCTTGTGGATTAAAGGTTTGTTCAATCAGATCTTTGTCCCATGTGGAGTCGTCCGGACTTAGCAGATTGCACACTTTCTTCAATCTCAATCTATCAGAGGTAAAACCAGATGAGGGGCAAAGGTTGGGGATGCCAGTCAACCATGGATCAGACTAGAGGGAGGTGTTTTTTCCATCCTCAATTGACTGCAGGGTTCCTTTTCTGAGGTGTTGTCTACATTTCAGCTAGGTGCTCCAAAGCCATGAGTTTGTAGATTTGTGTTGGGCTTCCCAAAGAGAGCAGTTGTGATAGTATTTACCTTTGAGGACCTTACTCATGAGAAGATTGGGGTGGCTAAGAAGCCTCCACAGTTGTTTAGCTATGAGAGCTTCATTAAAGGAGACAAGGCATTTAAAACCAAGGCCTCCTTCGTCTTTTGGCTTGGATAATTTGTCCCATGAAGCCCAGTGGAGCTTTTTACCACTATTGGCTCTTAATCCCCACCAAAATGATGCTGACAACTTGCAAATCTCTTGACAAATACATAGTGGTAATTTAAAGCAAGACATGGTGAAAGTCGGTAAGGCCCCTATGACAGTTCTAAGGAGGATTTCTTTTCCGGCTTCGCTTAAAAGATATTCTTCCAAAATGAAAGCCTACTGACAACATTATTAACAACAAAGCTGAAGGTATCTTTCTTGGAGGAGCCTAGGCCAAGGGGGAGACCCAAGTATCGGGTGGATCGGACAGTAGAAATTCCATTCAAGATAGGATTGATCTCAGCCCTACCTTGTATAGATGTGTCCCAGGAAAAATAAACAGATGATTTTGAGAGATTCACCCTTTGTCCTGAGTCTGAGCCGTAGATGTTCAAGATATTTGAGATTAAAGGGGCATGGAGGGGGTCGACTTTGCAAAAAATTATGGAATCATCGGCAAAGAAGAGGTGAGTAACAGATGGGGAGTGTCTGCTAAGCTTAATACCTTGGAAGGAAAGGGAAATGGAGGCTTGTTTAATGAGATTTGTGAAAGCTTTAGTGATTATGATGAACAAATAGGGAGAGAGTGGGTCGCCTTGCCGCAAACCCCTAGATGGTTTAAGGATCCCTTGAGGTTGACTGTTTATATTGAAGGTGAAAGATGCAGAGGTGACACATATCATGATCCAAGAGATGAATTTGGTGCAAAAACCCATTTTACTGCAAATAGCTTCTATGAAAGGCCATTCTACACTGTCGAAGGCTTTCATCGTATTGAGTTTGAGGGCCATAAAGCAAGAGTTTCCGGTGGATTTTGTTTTTCAAGTGGTGAATGCTTTCGTTAGCAATAACAAAATTATCTAGGAGTTGACACCCTGGGACAAAATCGGCTTGGTTCGGGATAACGCAAAGGTGGAGAAGAGGTTTAATTCTATTAGCTAGGATTTTGAAAATAAGCTTATAAGTGACTGTGCAGAGGCTAATAGGCCTATAGTCCTGCAGGAATTTGGAGTTTTTCTTTTTAGGGATAAGAGTGATGGTAGTTTTATTAGTGTAGGTGGGCAACTTGCCGGAAGTGAAGAAAGATTGAACATCTTCAAGGAGAGATGGGTTGATAACATTTCAAGAAGTTTGGTAAAAAGAAGGGACATACCGTCGATGCCTGGTGCTTTGAGGGGGTGCATTTCCCACAGGGCTTGCTTGAGCTCTTCAACAGTCACAGTCCTAGTGAGTTTGGCGTTCATATCATCAGTAATAGAGCAAGGTATGCCATCAAGACCGTGCCAATCAGAAGCAGAGCAGGTGGATGTGAAGAGTCAGGTAAAATGAATTTGAATTTCCGTGAGGATCTGTGCCTGAGAAGAGCAAGGTTCCCCAGATTCTTTGAGAAGGCCCTCGAGGCTGTTTGTTTTTCTCCTTTGAGTGACACAAGCCTGAAAGTATTTTGTATTTTTGTCGCCCTCCTTCAGCCATTTAGAACGAGCTTTGTGAGCCCAAAATTTTTCTTCTTCACCGTATGCTAAGTGTAGTTGTCTTCTTGTTGCCTCACATTCTGACAAATTTCTATGTGCACCTTGGAGAGTCAGTGCCTCCAACTTAGCATTTAAAATGTCCACGGTTTTCTTTGAGTTTGTCTTCAGAGTGGTTTTTCATTCAGAAGAGCAACTCGGACTTTTTTTATTTTTTCTTGAATTTCATAAAGGTTTGCCCTGCTTTCCCCTGTGTTCCAAGCATTTTCAATAGTGGATACAAAACCTCCTCTTTAGCCCACCTTGATTCCAAGTAAAACCTCTTCTTGAACGGGGGTTTATCCTCAGTTGTGTTCAGCAGGATCAGAGCATGGTCCGAAAAAAGAAGAAGAATGTGTCGCCCTTTGGTGTGGGAATAGTAGAGGGTCCACTCCGGGGAGGAGAAAAATATGTCTAGTATTTCCTCTACGAAGTCACTAGCTTGTCTGCAGTTGTTCCAGGTGAATGGATAGCCAGACAAGGGGACCTCAACCGTACCAATGGAGTAGATAAAGGATCTGAAGGAGGAGAAACTGCTTTCTGATCAAAGTATGTCTCCTCTTTTATCTGAATTTGAAGGGAAATCGTTGAAATCCCCTCCATGGAGCCAAAGCTTGCCCCAGCTATGCATACATCTACGCAGAAAGTTCCATTGGATTTCCCTGAAATTTGGATTAGTGTTGGCCTGAACAAAAGTAGCCCAAACGGGGGGTAGAGTTTTTTTCAAAAAGGAATTGGACTTGGAGGGAAAAGTGGTTGTTTATGATTTGAAGGATAGTGATTTTGTCTGACCAGAACAAGAGAAGACCCCCTTTGTTGCCTTCGGGTTCTTCAAAGAACCAGTTATTGGCTAGCCTAAGCTTTTTACAAACGGACAAAGTAATTTTTTTTTGTTTTTTTTTTTTTGTTTTTTTTGTTTTTTTTTTAACTTCGGAAAGGAAGAAAAAATCCGGGAGGTGAGACCTTAAGGACTCTTTGAACTGGGAGATTGTAGAGGGCCCTCCGAGACCTCTACAATTCCACACCGATACTTTCATTTGGAAAGTCATGGCTGGATGCCTCCACCAATTTGGATTGTCTCGGGTTTTGAGTAGGGGAAGGGTTTGGGTTTTTTAGCATTTGAGGGGTTTACATCTGGGCAATCGGAGGTTTCAGTGAGGAGTTCTTTTGTTGTTTGATTTGACTTAGGAGGTCTGGTTTGAGATAGAGACATCAATGAGTCCAACCTCAGGCTGTGGTTTCTTGAGAATATTGCGGGTTTTAAGGGGTTTAGTTTCTTTTTTTATGGGAGCCAAAGATTTGCTGGTGTTAGCAAGGTTAGAAGTAGGCACAGGAGATTTGCTGGTGTTAGCAGGGTTAGGGGTAGGCGTAGGAGATTCATGGAGTATGGTAACATCAATGAGCGAGATGTCAGAGGTTTGGTTTGGGTTTATAGGAGGTGCCCCTGTGG